TGATCATTTCCATATGGATGCATACACGCTTACCCTTAGCAACATTACTAGGGATCATATCAGTCTCCGAAAGTGCACCGCGATCCGAGATCCTCATTGGATGGCCTGGGTGGACCTTTGTCAACCGCGCTCTTGTTGGCATGTCGCCATTGGATAGGTGACTTGGCGGGACCTCGGCTGGTTGTGACATAGCGAAATGGACATGGACACATTTATGGATGAGTTATGGATGATTAATAGATGATGTGCCTATCAATCATTCATAGATGATAATAGATGATTGACCTATTTATAGATGAATTTTCTAATTTCACTGTACCTATTGAACATGGTGATTTTCCATAGCTCTGTCAAATTACTAGAGGATGCTGTCTAATGGGATAAACCAATTGATTGGCAGAAGGGGAAAGGATGCCGAGTCACTGGCTTTAGGGACACCCTTTATTTTTTTTGCACACCCAGATGGCTACACCCTACCACCCACTTGTCAGGGACAGGGACTTTCATGGACTTGTGGGGGGAAGACTATATGTGGCTGTTTAGCGAAGCATCCATACCTCCATACCATATACTTTTTGAGTCGCAGATGTTGGAGGTTTGGTGTTGGGCTACCATGTCGCCATGACTCAGGAATAGGGTGCAGCCGGTGCAACCGGTACAATGGATCAGCCCCCAACAAAGTGTGGGTTTGTTAAGGGCTTAACCACCAACAACCACAAGTAGAAGGGCGAACCTTAGCCTTCGTTGGGATCGCGGGTACAGGGGGGTGGTTGAATCCCCATGACATTTACCAACAATATCCAACTATGATTGGGATAGAGTTGAGATATAATTTATGGGACTATACCGGATCAATGGTTCATTTTCCATGGCTAGCGCCGTGAATAATTATCATATATATTTATATATTCCCTTAAGACAAATTCAATTATATTAACCTCTTTAATATTTTGAAATTGACATTTGATGGGTATTTCCAGAGCCAGATATCCTCGATTTCGATTCATCACCCACGGTGAAGCGTGCTGAGATCGAGGTGCTACGGATGTGCAGCTCTTTGGCCGCGCGAAGCGATTTCTGGGGGGTCAATGGCAGATCCAAAGGGATTCCAGCTCCCACGGAGGATCCGCAATATATATAATTATATATATATGACATAATATTTATATATATATATATATAATCAATATAACACAGTATATATATATGGTCATATAAATGATATATATATATATATTAATCTAAAATTCTTTTATATAAATACATTATAAGGATAATCAAATATATATATATTTGATATATATAATTATATATATTTATATTAATATAATAAACAATATATATAAGATTTACTATATTTATACTTTTAAAACTATCTAAATATATATATATATAAGAAATGATTGATTTGATATATACACATATTTAATTCAATTATATATATATAAGATTATATATAATAAATAATCTAATATATATATATCATATATATATATATCATATATATATATATATGTATATCATATATATATATCATATATATATATATCATATATATACCAATATATATATATATATATATTTAAATATATGTATACTATAAAAATATAATATGTGTACATATATATGTATGTATAACATAAATAATATATATAACATATAAAATATATTCAAAATATATAAAGTATAATTTATATATATATATAATATGATATATAATATATAATATATGTAATATATATAATATAATATTTATATATATACAATAATATTTATACAATAATATTTATACAATAATATATATGTATAATATAAAATATATACAATATATATAAGACATATATAACATAATATATATAATATACGTATGTGCAATATATTTATGAATGTATGGTCACCCCCCATGACTCGCAACTATGGATATATTATGGGGGCGCTGAAATCTGCAATGCTGTGCAACAGTACATTGATGATACGACGCTGTGCGCAACATGTAGGGCTTCGCAAGCCCGTTGGTTAGCTTGTTCAAGTAAGGACAATAGTATTACAAAAATACATATTGAAATCCATAATATACACATATATATATACGTGTATCTATCAATTTATCAATCTATCTATCCATCCATCCATGCATCCATCTATCTTATCAATCTTATCAATCTGATCTATCTTATCTATATTATCTACCTTATTCTGATTCTGATTTATCTGATCTATCTGATCTATATTATCTACCTTATTCTGATCTATCTTATCTATCTTGTCTATCTTATCTATCTTATCTATCTTACCTATCTTATCTATCTTGGCTATCTTATCTATCTTGTCTATCTTATCTATCTTATCTATCTTGTCTATCCTATCTATCTTATCTATCTTATCTATCTTATCTATCTTATCTATCTTATCCTCTCTATATCTATCTCTATATCTCTATATCTCTATATCCCTATATCTCTATATCTCTATATCTCTATATCTCTATATCTCTACATCTCTACATCTCTATATCTCTATATCTCTATTTCTCTATCTCTCTATCTCTCTATCTCTCTATCTCTCTATCTCTCTATCTCTCTATCTCTCTATCTCTCTTTCTATCTATCTATCTATCTTTCTATCTATCTATCTTTCTATCTATCTATCTATCGATCTATCTATCTATCTATCGATCTATCTATCTATCTAATCTAATCTAATCTAATCTAATCTAATTCTAATCTAATCTAATCTAATTCTAATCTAATCTAGTCTAGCCTAGTCTAGTCTAATCTAATCTAATCTATCTATCCTATCTATCCTATCTATCCTATCTATCCTATCTATCCTATCTATCCTATCTATCCTATCTATCTATCTATCTCTCTCTCTATCGATCTATCCATCTACCTATCTATCTATTTATCTACCTATCTAATTATCTATCTGTCTGTCTGTCTATCTGTCTATCTATCTATCTACCTATCTATCTTTCTATCGATCTATCTATCTATCTTTCTATCTATCTTTGCATATTTTTTTAATATATATCTTCACATATATATGTATATATTTCTATAAATAGATTTTTATCTTTATATATCAATAATTCTATCTCTCTATATATCTATATCTATATCGATATCTATATATACACACAATTGTAGATCAGACCCATGTGTACTTTTAGCATGTTTACAGCACCCGACAGAATTATGGGAAAAAAAAAACGTTTCAATTTACAGGCGCCGCCTGTCTATGATAGAAAAGTTACGAACCTTTTTTTTTTCCATAATTATTTTTTCCATAATTATTTTTTTTTCCATAATTCTGTCGGTGACTGTATGTCCATCGATTCGCAATTTGAATGCATTTTAAGGGGGAATATTGAATTATAGAAAATATGTGTCTAAAGATCTGGTATATGCCCCTAAGTCTTCCATTGATATACATAATATCATGTGATGTTCGCAATTTGAATGCATTTTAAGGGGGAATATTGAATTGTAGAAAATATGTGTCTAAAGATCTGGTATATGCCCCTAAAGCCACCAATTGGGTTGATACTACATACTTGCATTTGCATACATATTTCCATAACCCCCCAAAAAAGGGGGTTTGAATTGTGGATCCATGACATGTCCAACAGGTGGAGCCCCAAACATTAATTATGGAAAAAATTACTTTACTTCGTGTGATCCCCACCATGACATTTATACATTTTCTTACTGGCAAATCTTCTGGCATTCTATCTGACATATCTTCTGACATTCTATTTGGCATTGTATCTGGCATATCTTCTGGCATATGATCTGGCATATCTTCTGGCATTCTATCTGGCAAATCTTCTGGCATTCTATCTGGCATATCTTCTGGCACTCTATCTGACATATCTTCTGGCATTCAATCTGGCATTCTATCTGGCATATCTTCTGGCATATATTCTGACATATCTTCTGTCATTCTATCTGACATATCTTCTGGCATATATTCTGACATATCTTCTGGCATATCTTCTGGCATATCTTCTTATCTGGCATATCTATCTGGCATATCTTCTGGCATATTTTCTGGCATTCTGGCATCTGGCATCTTCTGGCATTCTATCTGGCATATCTTCTGGCATATTATCTGGCATTCTATCTGGCATATCTTCTGGCATTCTATATTCTATCTGACATATCTTCTGGCATTCTATCTGGCATTCTATTTTGGCATATCTATCTGGCATATCTTCTGACATTCTTTCTGACATTCTTTCTAACTTTCTTCTGCACATTCTTTGTCCCATATCTTCCTACATGAGGTCCGGCAGGGAACACTTGGCGTGGATACTCGCGGTTGAGGTCCGGCAGGGAACACTGGGCGTGGATGGTCGTGGTTGAGGTCCGGCAGGGAACACTGGGCGGGGATATCGTGGTTGAGGTCCGGCAGGGAACACTGGGCGTGGATGGTCGTGGATGGTCGTGGTTGAGGTCCGGCAGGGAACACTGGGCGTGGATGGTCGTGGTTGAGGTCCGGCAGGGAACACTGGGCGTGGATGGTCGTGGTTGAGGTCCGGCAGGGAACACTGGGCGTGGATGGTCGTGGTGGAGGTCCGACAGAGAACACTGTGGATCGCGAGTCGCAGTTGAGCAGGAGGACGAGGAGGACAACGAGAGGAGGAGGAGGAGGCGGAGGAGGAGGAGGAGGCGGCAGGAGGAGGAGGAGGACCAGGCAACTTAGATAAAATCTAACAACCCTCACCTGGCAGGTGGGGAATAATTATGGAAAAACCGGTCAATCTGCCCTAGCCCCCTGATTTTACAGGAAAAATCAATTATGGAAATAATGGCAACCTCCAAGAATTATGGAAAAAAAAGGTTCGGATCACTTCCGGGATATTTTGAACCCTTATGGGGAAAAACCAAATTATGGAAAAATCGTTTGCAGGCGCCGCCTGTCTAAGTTGAACGTTTTTTTTTCCATAATTCTGTCGGTTACCATAGGGGTTTTCCCTTTTTTCGGGCGGGGCTCCCATGGAGCAGTTGGACCCAAGGCTGGAAGGTTTGGCCTTTGTTTTGCCCGTGCTTCGTGACGCGTCGCTGTTGCTGCTGCTGAATCGCGTGCTGAGAGCTGGGCAAACTGCGGCAGAGTTGATGTGCCTTGGGGAATCAGAAGTGATTCGACCGGGCAAAATTGGGCACCCCAAGTGCAGGGTTATATGATGAGTTGATATTGGGTACTATCAATGATTGGATGGATAATTTCCCATTCGATTGATAATATTTCAAGATTGACCAAATCTGCAGTTTGTTCTCAGTTTAACATTTGACCCTTACCCGAATAACCTAGCCTATTAGTAAATTCACCTTGCAAATTTTGCAATCGAATTTGAACATGGATTGGTTTCAATGGACCTTGTTAAGCTGTTGGAATTCCTTAGTTGTTGTGCCAAGGTACAGCAGTCGCATCCTTTCGACGCAAAGACGAGAACTGTGGCAAAACACCCGTGAGAGAAGAGTAATCGCTTGCCTTTTGGCGCACCTTGCTCTTCAAATGCTGCGGGTTGTTCCAGTGAACGAAGTGGTTATTGCAGTTCATTTGCATTTTTTTCACCAAAGTTGTGGGGGTTTTAATGGTTTACGCGGGGTTAGAATCTCATATAGTTGTGCCTATTAATAGCTGTTTTTTCGCTTGTAGAAGATAGCAGTGAAGTCTGGCATTGAGGCATGTCATGGATGCCCGCAATGGAGACGAACCGGTGCCATGGCCGATAGAAACCATGGTTTTGAGCAGACACCATGAGCATCTATGAAAAATGTGAAGAAACGGTTGTGTTCAAACCATTCAACATTTATTTTTACCAACTTTTCAACCAAGTGTGAAACCATTTAAAACAAACTTTTCATGACAACCCCAAGGCAGCTGTCGCTGTGGAGCCCTTGGATGCTAATGCACCCTTGGCCTTTGAACGTGCCTGTGCCGAGCTCATTACTGCGGGTAGCCCAGGTGCGACCGAGCACCCAGGTGATGGTGATGGGCTTGATGTGGTGAATTACCTTTCTACTCTTTCTATCTTTTTTTGGATTTGCTGTCAAAATATATACATATATTATATGTAACTTACATATATATATACTTTCCATCAACTTCTGTCTGCGGCCAGGCTCAGATCTTTGGCTTGGCATGGTGAAACTTTCGGAGGAACCATCGGAGGCCTGTTGCCGGGTTTTCCATGGCTTTTCCATGGTTTTCTCATCAGATATGCCATGGTTTTCCTGGATTTTTTTTTTGTATGAGTTTTCCCCTTGACTGATTCGAATTCTGGGAGGAATGCCATGGAATCCCTATGAAACAACAAATGAACTAAGAAGTAGAAACAATCTAGAGATGATGCAAAGTGTACGTATGACACTTCAATGCCCTGGTGGATTCAAATTACCTTTAAGGCACTGTTCAGTTCTGACGGGTGTTGCAGCAACTCTTTATCACGATAGCCTGTCCATATATAGAGCTGTTGAGCTGTTTGATAATGTTTCAAGCATTTCTCTATCATGGTTCTGCCTGATCAATGCCGCAGAAAGCAACGCAAAGGGGATCCCGAAACCGAGTGAAGTGTAATGCTGCACCCCAGTCACTCAGCTTGAAGGAGTCAGAGAGCTCCGCATCTGAAGAGCACAGCCCGACTCGTCGAGGAACCGCTTTTTGCAGAATTTCACCATATTTTGACCATATGTCCGCCATATGTTGGCCATATGATGCCATATGTCAAGTATGCACTGAAGGCCCACAATTGGACAAGATATCACAAGATGAGTTTTCCTTGGGGCACACCTCGAGACCAATAAGCCAACAGAATGACTCCCATGCAGAGAGGGTTGATGGATTGATGGATGTCTCAGTCGCTGGAAGGACAAGCAGACATTCTCCGGCAAGAAGGCATTCTATGCGAGCCAAAGATGCTCAACTTGACAGCCATGGGCTGACCAGGAGGTGAACTATGATAAGCTGTGATGAACTATATATAATGAACTATGAACTACTGTATGATGAACTATGATGAACTATGTACCGTAGGGTCAAGCAACAACACCTGACATGGATTGACATGGTATGGCCATGCGAAGCTGCCATACAGAGAATGCTTAAGACATTGGGGATCTTGGCGAATCTTTGCAATGGCAATGCGGATGATGTCCGGCGGGGCTTCCAAGGAAGGTGGAAAAAGGTGCTACTGCCTTGTTCCGGAGCCTTGTCCCTGAGGGACGTTTGAGCTTTGCCCAGCCGCTTAGCGCAATGCTTGGAAATTAACATGACAAGCCGCCATGACACGACTTGGAACATCAATGAAATGGATGAAAGCAACCTATGAAGAAACTAGAGTCTACTTAGTAACCTTAGTAGTTGGTGGCGCAGCAATTTCCACCGCAGAAAGTATTGAAAAGTCCTGTGATACCTGCAGTTCTAGGGAAAGCTTCTAAGCTCAGAGATCCACTGATCCACAGCTAAGGTTGACTGCCAAACTGCAAGATGGAGCAGCCACTGGTTTGCCTTCGGTTGGCGCTTTGTTTTGGTGTGTGGCTACTGAATTGACCTATCGCGACCAAGATTTAGCAGCATTCCAAACATGTGATGCAAACCCACGCCCAGAATTTTATCTGAGCAAGTTGACTGCTTGAACCACAGCTGCGGACTTGATCTGCTCCGCCTTATTGGGTTGGTCAAAGGAAGTATAGAATAGGCTACTGAGGTAGGGGATATATGATAACACATACAAATATACACTTCACAGAATGATTATATATATATATTATATCCCCGTGTGAATTTTCCCTAGTAAATGCTATGACCTGGGTCCCGGAAAGTGAACCAAAAATTCACAGTGAAATTTCCAGAAACTATTTAGGAGAGAATCATGATTTTTCAATAAAAATCAAGTAAACATCTCTAGACCCAGGATCCACATTTAGTAGAGAGGTAAAATTGATATGTTAGTCGAGTCATGTTGGTCTTCAGAGACTTCGAAGATATATCAAGATTTTGCACTTCAACTTCAGCTGAACCAAGGGCCCACATTTAGTAGTGAAATTCGATCATGCATGTACATCCATTTAGTAGAGCTTGAGGCTATGCAAACCGTTTCTTCACTACAAAATGGTCACACAGCCTTCACCTTAAATTCACAGGAGGATTATATTATATATTTGCATATCATGTCGATTATTTGTTTATTTATATATATATGTATACATCTATATAAATCTATATACTATACATATATACATATATATATATTATTTATAACGCCACTGGGGTGGACATCTCCATCCCCAGCACCCAGGAGAGTGAGCGTTTTTGGCAGCTGTTGGAAGCACTGGATGCACCTGTGCCTGAGCTGTTTTTGGCTGCGAGTCGGTGTCAAAATCAAAGAGCCTGCGGATCAGAGATTTTGTTTTTTTTTGGTGGTTGTTTCTTGGTACCAACATGTACTAACCATCCATTTTTTGGGATGCCCATAGTTTTTGCCTACACAAACACTGTGGATATCCCATCCATTTTAGTCCACTGTGTCGCTTGGGCCAAGGCCAACTTTAAAAGGCCTCGACCGCATCGCGCATTGTCACGTGCAAACACGGCACCGATTGATGCAGCTTGGCGAACTTCCCCAGAGGTATAACATCCCGACCATTTGCTGCTAAAGTGGGTTGGGGGTTACCAAAAAAGATAGATGTAAAGCTATCAGCCTAAAAAAATCTAACACATGAGGATGGTTAATCTTGATTTGGATGGTTTCAAATGCTTTCGTATCACTGAAAAGTGTTGCCACCGTTTTCAATGGTTTCGGGATGGGTTGGAACCACCAGCCTGTTTGTATTCCGCCAAGTTTACCCTCCAGTAATCAAACATGGCAATTGGAAGTCCTTCATTGATGGGAGATTTTCTCATTCGAACTCCCATTTATAGGGGATTTCCGTGGATTTCCCATTGCCATGTTACCGCAGGGCAACTTTCAATTCCGTTGATCTTGTCAAATCGCTGCAAGTCAAAGCTTGCAGGAAGCTTCGCCGACGCCAAAATCGCGCCGGTTGGGACATACAAAGTCCAGCGGTCACATCGAGATCAGCGTCGGTCAGGCCGGACCGCTGTTCCAAGGGCAAATGTCAAGAGCACAAGGAAGAAAAGGAACATAACTAGAGATGACCCAGAAAATGCTTATTGCCACATTTAGTGTTTTTTTGACATTGGCATCTTTTTTGTCCACCTTGGTTTTGATGGTCCACCAATTTTCCAAGGCTACCCCGTGCAACCCCTGCGACATGTAATTGTTCCACCTGGACGTTTTGGACCCACAAGACTTGCGACATTCCTCAGCGGGCAAGCGTTGCTCAACTTGGTAAGGATGCCTTTGTGCAACTGGTTGTCTCTACCTACAAAGACTCTGCACGTTTGGTATCAAATGTTGGCGAGCACTCAGCCATATTCGCGCTTCTCGGTAGGAAAGGTAGGCCTTGGGATTTTGGCGTGGCTGCCGAAGGTGTCATATCCAACACTGGTGTGTTCAGATTCACGGAATTTCACACAAGACTTTTCTCCCCTCGTCTCTAAAGAGTGTTGCAGACTACTGTAAGTCTCTCAATTTCCACCTAAACAACAGATTTTTCCAAAGCTCAATGTTTCATAACAATCCTTGATTTTTCTTGTATTTCCACAATTTGTCATGTTTTTTTCATGCATCATCAAACAGCCACATCCCCCACATTCCGCGAGGCTCTTCTGCAGCGTTCTCCGCTTGTGTCGTCTGGTGGTCGTGAGCATCGTGGCGTTGGGGCGCTTCGCCCCGGCATCGCTGATGCAGACCCTGTCCTGGCTAATCTCATCGGTTTCGTGGTGATCGAAGGGGATCCTTTTTGGGGGATCCAAGGGAATTCCCAGCAGAATCAGGGAATATAGGGAATATCTGGAGATGGAAAACCATGGAAACATCGATGATTTATTTGGACTTTGCAATCTTAATTCATGTTCATGAAGTCATGAACATCAATTTAGCCGTTCATGGATGTGCAGACCAACACCAAGCTGTACATTTTTCCATATTCGCAAGGTGGAAAGCAAACAGAGAAATGCCAGACACATTAGATTCTCCAGATTTTCAGTGAGGTTCTGTTGGCAGTTTCTTTTGCATGGGGCCCTGTACTACTGGACGTGATGCAGTCGTTGGTTTTGCTGCTTCACGTGTGTCCCTTCGACACGGGTGACCGCATCGTTTTCCGTGGCAACTCGGCTTGAGACTTTGGATCATCAACTTAGAAGAGAGTTTTCTTAATGTGACCCAGCTCCCGAAGCACCTGCAGGAAAATTATATAAACGATCACATTTATGTCCTGAAATTAACACATATATATATATAATATATATATATATATTATATATAATATATATATATATATTATATATAATATATATATATATTATATATATATATATAATATATATAATATAATATATATATATATTATATATATAATATATATTATATATAATATAATATATATATATATTAATATATATATATACATCAAAAGAAATGTTATCATTCCATTGGGATTCTAGTACCATCATCAATCTGTGCGAAGATCAATAATGTCTTTCCCGCGCCGGTTTGTCGAAAATGGAGGATTTTTCAATGGTCATCAAGTGGTGGGAAAAGCTATTCCAAACCACTGGAAAGTATAAGATTTTGGGGGGTGCAAACTCAATGATATCCTCATGGCAGAACATCCGAACGATCACTGTGAGAAGGACAAGTCCTTGTCGTTGCACACATCAAGTTGCTGAACACCGTCTTTCGCGACGTCTATGATGAGGACAGCGGTCTACAGCTGTGGCAGGATGTGTGGTCGATGATGGCACTAGCAAATTCTGCAAGCAGAACAATGTCATGAACTTGCAGTTTTCTTTAAGGACTTTGACAACCTCTTGTTTCATGCTAAAAGTTTCCCTGCAACTGGACGACGTAAACATGTAGCCCTGGTGCGAAAATCGCACCAGGAAATCTACATTCGCAATGCTGCACTGTACGCGGGCGATGGCATCATCAATCTTCGCCGATCTGGGCCTGCATATGTGGCAATCACTTTGGTGATACCTTTGCACCTTGGTTTTACAAAAAGGTGTGACACTGAGCTGGAAATGGCTGGGAGATTTTGAAGTTTGGTGCCCCGAACAAGAACCAAGCATCCTTTTGCGTTTCTGCAGGTGGAGTGAGCAAATTGATGACATGCTGATAATCTTTCAAGTCAAGTGGGGGTATTTAGAGGACACCTGCTTGGACAACGACGACATGACGGCCAGTTCTAGGACGCAAGGGTACCTTTTAGATCCATTTTGATCCTTTCAGAGGGTTTAGTATGGTTTAGATATGTTTAGATTGAGATGGTCTTGGTTCAACACGAAAGCTGATGACGCCCCACTGCTCCTTGAACATTCTCATCTCATGAGCACAGTCTGGGGTCCACATTCAGAGCTGGTGGCAATCCCCAAACTCCGCCGATGTTGCATTGCTGGATTGGACAAAGCATGACAGAGAAAATTCAGGGAATGTGCCTCTGATTCCCCTGCCTACAGTAACAGTACAGTATATAGATTTGTGGAAGATTGACAGTCGTCGGTCCACATGCAAAAAGGGGGTCCGTTGGGGCAGATTTGGAATGACTCTATCACAATCATTCCACAGGCATCACAGGCCAAAACATGTTGCATGGATATGGCCGACCCTGAGAGAACGAAGGATCGATGAGACCGTACACCCTGATCTGCAGCGGCCTCTTTTTCACTGATGGTTCTTGAGCCAAAAGTCCATTCGAAGTATATTTTTTAAAATACTTTTTATAGCCTGAACTGGACGGCTGGAATGCAACTCACTCTAATCCATTAAGTAGCTGTTAAAGTCACAGAACATAGCAAATTGAATTCCTAGGGAGGCCTCTATGAGGTTGCCCACTATAAAGGTCTGTTGGCGGTATTATGTCCATTATCTGGGCTTATTCTTCTCCCCAGGAAATTTGCCAAGAAGGAGATCTTCAAAGCCTTGACGGTAGCAGCGAAGATACTTGGCTGAACGCTCCGGCTGGCCTGTGCCACCTTCTTTTGCCCTGTAAAGCTGCTGCATCTCGCACTCTATTTCCCTCAATGCTTGTCAATCTTCACGGGGGTGCTGTGTAAGCCCTTCGCAACGCTATGAGACTTGCGTATCAATGAGGGCTTGAGCCCTGCAGCATGATGTCATGTCCGGTCCCACAAAAACAACGAATTCAACCATCGATGAGGAGTCCGGATTCTGGAGCAGAATCTTTTGAAAGGATGCATTTGGGGGCTTTTTGATATATCTACATCTACATCTGACATAATTCTTTATCTATCTATCTGTATATTATATATATGTATACATACATGCATATTCTGGAGCAGGGACATCCATATTCCACAGCCACAACATCCATGCCGCACCAGGAACTATGCGATGTCGCATCAGGAGACATGGCGGGAACAAATCACCTGTGCCTGGGATGGAGTATAAGGGATGATGGATGATAGATGAGTGATGATGATGAATAATAAAATGAAACATGATGATCCAGAATAGTTGGTGATGGCGATGTTGATGTCGATGTCGCTGTTGTTGTGGTTGTTGTTGTTGTTGTTGATGATGATGATGAGGATGATGATAACGATGGTGATGATGATGATGGTGGTGATGATGTTGATGATGATGACGATGACGATGACGATGATGATGATGATGATGATGATGATGATGACGATGACGAGGACGACGATGACGATGACGATGACGATGACGATGACGATGACAATGACGATGACGATGACGATGACGATGATGATGATGATGATGATGACGAGGACGACGATGACGATGACGATGACGATGATGATGATGATGATGACGACGACGACGACGACGACGACGACGACGACATGCATGGATATATATAATGATAATGGACTATATATATAATATGCATAGATGACATGACGATATATATGGATTCTGGATGGATGGCCAGGTTTTGAGTGGATATCCCCCTCTGGCCCTATGGGAGATCGTTTGACCCAGCGCCAGGTGGATTTTTTCCCACAGAGCAAGGCGCTGGCGGCGTGGAGGTTCATATGGAGTCCTTCCCCTCGCAAGCCTTGCGCTGGCGGGTTGGAGTTTCTCATCAACTCTCCAAACTTCATTCAGCACAGGCGACCAGTGGATGGTATCGGGTACCCTGTTTTTTTTTAGCAAACCACTAGGAATCGGACACGAAGTATATGTGAAATTTCCACAGCTTTTGGCATTGCTGACATATCTTGGCTCAACCATTGTTCCATCGGTTCGTGTTTTTTCGTTTTGCCATCAGTGATTTTTTTTCTCTTTGCACGCAAGTTGACGCATCATTTTTTTGTGACATGTATACTGTACGTATTTGTACGTATATGTAGTCCGCCCATGAATCTCCTCAACTAATTTCAGGAAACAAATACGCGGATTACAGATACGTACAGATACGTGTGGAATAAATAGACAAATGATGACAAATGATGACAAATGAACAAATAAGTAAATGGAATTGGCATCAATTTGATCCATCTATCACTGAAGCGGCCTTGCTTGGAGGTCAGAAGTGATGCCTCACTGTTTCTGACCGAACTCATTGAGGAAGCTGCGAAGTTGGGCATTGAATGGCCAAGTTCTCTGCAACCTGGGACCATCGAGGAACCTGCGTAGAAAACGGCGGAAAGCGTCGAAATGGGGATGGGTCAAAAGGCCAAGCCCTATGAAATTCCCACGTGAGTAAGTGTTTCTTTTTACTCTATTTTCCATAATTTTCCATATGATGGGGAAACCCAGAGTACTGATTGGATTGTGACCCATACCCAAATCTTCCCAAATGCTAGTCAGGCGTCTGAGCAAATCTCAGTGCCTCTCGGATCGTCCAACAGTGACGTGCCGAGCTCCTAGGTCTGTGGAAAATTGACAGCGACCGCTGGTTGACGAGGGTTAGACACTGACAGGAATTACGAAGTGGATGGGTTGCTGATAAAAAACGTCGAACATTTATGAGAATTTAGCCATATAACTTTGAAGCATTACATTGACACATATTGAATCATTATCATGTCAAGGATTTAGTGTCAGGTTTTTCCCATGTCTTGATATTTTTTTGATCATCCCTCCTTCCCTCCTTCCATGAACCAGGAGCAGTGCCCGGCCATTTTCTCCGAGGCAGGATTTGGCCATTGATCCTATCTGGCATTGGAAAGTGCACCATCCGCAAAAACACCACCAATATTATACAACATTTGGATATATCAATATATATATAATATATATATATATATATCATATATCTGGCACAATTTTGGCAGAAAAACAAATAAAGATGATGAACAATGAAGAGGAGCACTTTGCCAAATGCCTTTTGGAGCCCAGCCTGAAACAAGATGACCATGGAGAACAGACAGGAAACGGCAACGGCATGACTTTTTCTTCGATTTGCCAGATCGATGTGAGAAGATGCACCAAGGATGCGCCAGATTCTCAGGAATTGCCAAGGGACTGCCAGTTGGAGGTGATCGTCATAGGGAATTTTTTACGCCCATAAGGTCCCGACCTGCAGTGATCTCGGTGTTGCAACGGTACCCAACTGTGCTGCTCTACTGTGTGGGCGGTGTGTAGTTGGGGAGGGTTCGAAGGAAATATACCTGGGATAGCACGACCTCTTGCTGCAGACTTGCCATCCCACGGTTGAATCAAGAGAGCCCCTTGGACAGAGGCACACGGGCAGCTTTGTAAAACTGCAAGAATATAGGTTTGTCAAAAAAAGGGGGTGGCTCAAAAATCGAGAGGTTTTGAAAACTATTCTCCCTTTACAATTTGTTGTTTTGGGGTATGCCCCACTTAGTCACTAATCCCACGGTTTATCAGCGTATCATCATGTTCACCATTTTTCTTGGCCATAAAAAGACAAGCCAAACTGGTAATAAAATGCCTCGAAATGGCCATGACTGACATAGCCATAAACTGGCAATCAACATCATAAATAAACCGATAAACCATAATTTTCCATTATTTCGATGATTTCCAATTATTTTTCATTATTTCCACCGAGTATTGATTCTATCATATATATATAATATAATTATATATATAATATAATTATATATATAATATAATTATATATATAATATAATTATATATATATAATATAATTATATATATAATATAATTATATATATAATATAATTATATATATATAATATAATTATATATATATATATAATATAATTATATATATATATATAATATAATTATATATATATATATATAATATAATTATATATAATATAATTATATATACGTATATATATTATTATTATTATTATTATAATAATATAATCTATCTATATATATATACGTTCTATGGCCATCAAAATTGGTGGCCCAGCGACTTCGGAAATCGCCAGGTATGCAGCTGCGAAATCGCCGCCAGAGGCTGTTGAGGGACTGCGAAACCTCGCTGCCGAGGACAGAGGACTTGGACTTGGAGGACTTGGCCCCCTTACTTGGGATGTTTGGTACATAGTACACAGCTACATAACATGTTAGATTACACGTATATAATTATATATTTAAATCTGTATAGCTTTATGTAGTTCATTGATACATCATATTATTTATGTAATATGTATATGTACATTAGATTATGTGGTCAACCAGTTTACCCCTCCAGCAGTCAGCCAGCAGACACAGCTAGCAATCATAATATGCAATCCCATCCCCCTAATGGTCCCAAATATGTGTAAATTCACCAGTTTTTATCATCGTTTCTGGGGGATGTTTAATCTTAGGGGGATGGGATAATGTATATATATATAATTATTATATATATATAATTATATATATAGCGATATAAATAGTTGATTACATACGTCGTTATACAGACAGACAGGCAGCCAGGCAGGCAGGCAGCCAGCCAGGCAGGCAGACAGGCAGACAGACAGGCAGACATAAATACATACATACATACATACATACATACATACATACATAAATACATACATACGAGGGAACTCCATCCAGCAGGTATGGTGTATAAATATTATGTATTGACTGCCATGGAAGGACGCCGCTGCCGCGGCGCAGCTTTGCGCAGACAAGATCGCAGCACTGCCAAGTGACGCAGTAGTTACCTCAAACACAAAACACCTTGGCGGACCACGGAGAATGTCACACATGAATCACATGTATACAATCTGAATTATATATACAGGATCACTCGATCACATGTATAATTATTGCAATTATGTATTAGATATTTGCATGTGTTCAGTACTTTTCTTTTACCTTTGAGGGCCCCAATTCCGGGTGGTAAGCCTGTGAGGGGATGTCGGTTATCATCCAAGTGATTGGTCATTTTCAATGTTGAAACGGAAAATTGGAGGTTTCATTAGTTATTGGAGCTTTTCAATGCTTATTTTCAATGCTTATTTTCAATGCTTATTTTCAATGCTTATTTTCAATAGTTACTTATTTTCAATAGTTATTGGATGTTTTTCAATGGTTATTTTCAATGTTACAACTGTTATTGGTACCACAATGGATTTTCGAAACCGCCATTGTTTTCAGTGGAGGTTTTGGACCATGCCCGGGATCTCGTTGCGGCTCTCTTGGATGCCATTCGCCAGATCGCTCAGCGATTCCACTGATCAACCGCACCCTCTTAAGATTGATACGGTAAATCAGATTGGAACCTCCCAATTTTTTATTAACATTCTAGTACTAATGGACTAATGGAATAAAACTCACATTGATCCAATAGTACTAGTAGCAACTGGTATTCCTACTTATTGTTTATTATATATATTGTTGTTACAACGTCGGAGAGCCGAGAGCTAGTTTGCGGCTCAAAGTGGATCTGAGAGCTATGTTTATTAGCACAAAAAAAGGTGCAGCTTATGTTGGTGAACGACTGGTACCTGGTCACACATTGTTGATATCCCCAGCTGGTGAGGCCTGGAGAAGTTACCAGAGCTATCGAAAGTGCTGGAGCTGTTTTTGCAGAGGACCGGGCAGTGCTGTGAAATGCTGGGGATTTAGCCAGTAACAAATGGGGAGTTTATGTTACCAAATATGATTTCACAGCCCACATCATATTCCAAAGCACTAGGAATTTCTAGATTTGTTCATTGATGATTCATCATATGATCTAACGATATCTAACGCATATTTTCCTGGCTTGAAAGGTGTTGGGGAATCCTTTTCAAGTGTCTTTGATGGGATGCATTGACAAACCACAGCATGCCTTCCTGAGTCTCCAATCAGCTCTTTGATATTCATTCATACAGGGTGCCGCCCCCAAACGATAGCTAAGTTGGTATATAAGTAGGTGAACTAAATTGTTTATGGTACAACATATCGAGCTAGATCCTGGAGTCTCCATGGGGTGAACTTCGGTGAACAAACAAACATAATCGGGGGGCTCAAATCCCATTATCCATTTGTATAAATCAATTATAAATCCCATGTTTTCTCCCATGAAATCCCATGAACCTTCTCTCCGGGGCCACCTCAGTGGTGAAGGACACAGTCTTGGCGTTCTGGAGAAGACAAGTCTCAGCAGGCGATAGGAGAATATAGGAGAACTCTCATCATTTAAATTAGCAAAAATATAGGGATTACATGGTAAATTATGGTCAAATTTAAATGGTGGTTAATGATGGTTGAATAATGATATATTAATCTTTAAATATAGGGATTACATATATCAATGATGGTTAATATACATATATACATATATATATAATTATATATATATATATATAAAGACTCACAATGGGATTACATGGGATTTACCTTCACGTGTCCTCATATGTATGGCGGGCCGCTGGGAATCCACGAACTAAATGGAGTGTTCATTGATGGGAAAATCAATTAACTAAATGGGAGAAGTTGCATTGCCACGTTTGCTTACCGGAGGGTAACTCGAAAAGTGATGAGGGAAATGGCAGTACAGAAAAAGCGAGACAACCCCAGAAAGCGAAACACCCAAAAACAGCTGAATACCATAAATAGTCCCGAATTGTGTTGCTATTCATCAACATAGAAAATTCTGGCATATTCTGGCAACACTCTTGGCATATGAACTGTGACTAACTACTGTATTCACAGTGTGCCAGGGTTTTGACCCTTTTACCTCTGTGACTGATGTATTTCAAGTAGCGCACAAGGCAGCTCACGGTACGACGGCGCTTTTTCTTTTATCCCTGACTTGTTGGCTTCAGATTGCTTCATACTTCATGATATACGGGATCTGGTCTTCCAGCAACATGTCGCGGAACCAAGATTACATTAACCCATTTTCTCATATTTTCTCAAGTTCGCAAAGCTACAACACAGCTTTTCCGTCTTGAGCACTACTGGCTTTACTATGCTTTACTTTTTATTTGCTACAAGCTGGTGCCCCCCAGTGTTTTTTGGTTTACAACCCCTAACTATGGATTCTGTAGATATATAGATATAATATGATAATAATATGATATAATATGTGCATACTAGTTTCTACTAGTTGTAAATCAACAATGACTTCCCAAAAAAGCACCGCAGGCACAGCCTGTCATCCACAGCATGGTCGTGGACCACCTGTCAGCAGCTCAGTCAGAGGACCAACACGAAGCAGTGCTGGTAGGAGATGTGATGATATAATATCTATATGCAGTATATTTGCAAATTTGGATATCATTATAAAAATTCAAAAATATCCAAATTGGGAACCTACCACAGATTCTCGGATATTTTGAAGGATTGTTCGCAGGCTTGTCGTCCAGTCCCAATCAATGCCTGGGATTGGTCAGAACAGGATGTGTTGACAGTTGAAAATGTCGTGTTTAATCGTGTTGAAAAACATTTTGGGAGGATGAAGATCCATGAATGCCAGCTATGTTCATGTTTTCTTTTCATGTTTTTTCACAGGTTTTCAACCCAGAACTTCAACAGTTTTTACCGATGGCCGGCCGCTGAGGTTGAGTACTCCTCGCCTCCATGGTCTTCTGGATGTGATGGTGTCCAACAGCAACGCAGTTGCCTGGGCGGAGGCATGAGCAAAACAAGCGGTTGCTTTGGGATGACAAAATCAGAGAGGACATACATAGAAAGTCTAGAAATCTGACATGACTTAAACTGAGAAAACATGGAAATCTAAATCACTTAGACTTAAATTCATTCAAATCCAACGTCACTTCTAATTTATACATAATATCATAGCATGTTTTCTTTTCTCATTGGGTCCCATATTCAAGCCCAACTTCGGCAGAATTTGCAACCAACAGCCTCTAACAGATTTAACAGGCTTTCACATGTTATTCAGGGGGACAATATCCAGAATCCAGCGCTGGGAAGCTGCAGATTCTCCAGCTGCGGGCGAACAAGAGCCGCATGGCTGCTGAGCTACTTTGGAGGTGGGAGTTGAAGATGGCTCAGGATGGGACTATTGATCCTGGATACCATGATTTTTCCAATATTTTTCCCATTTGACCATCAAGATCATCAAGACTTCCCATTTTTCCCACTATTTCCTCATCCTTTTCGGAAACATCTGTGATTTTCCCAGCATTTTACATCATTTTACCATCATCCCAGCTTTTTACCATGGATTTCCACAGGTACCACCAACAACGAGGCCAAGTGCGGCCCGAATGGGCCCAGCTGCAACGTTTGGTGGAGACCACCCAGGCCGGCTTTGAAGCATCAAATGATGAGAATAGTGGGTTTTCAGATGTTTTAAACATGAGAACTAGTAAGTTGAGAATAATCACATTCCACCGGTGGACGGGGTTTTCGCACATTTTTTTACAGTCCATGAATTGGGAGAATAGCCTGGTATGGTGAAAGTAGTCATAATGCCAGCAAAATATCGGCAATTTTTCCAGAAACTGGGAATGGGCCAAAATGAGGATAGCTGGAGAAATTCTGCAAGAAAGGGTCATTTGGAAGGACATAAATCATCATTTAGGTGTTTTCTTTCATATGTTTGTTGATCTAGAGCCACACGTTAAAAAAATAATCGCCCATGGGGATCCATGGGGAGCATAGACAGATATCGCCAGTGCTCCCATTTCTGACCTGGCGCCAGTTCTACAGCCTGAAAGAACGCATCCGATATTTACGACTATCGCAGGAGCATTGCAGCATGGAAGTGAAGAGAAAGTTGCTGTTTCCAGTTGAAGGTTTCATTGATTGCAATACAAGTTGGGTACCACAAACCATTGGAATTCACTCTGGATGCAGATCGAAATTAGTAAGCAGCGCAGCACACGCAACAGGGTCAACTCACCTCGAAAGCAAGGCATGTTCTCTCAGCTCGAAAGACTCTGCATGACACTTTGAATACACCTTTTTTTTTAGCGGTACCAGACCATACCATTGGCCAACTAATCCCTTCTTCCTCATGGCAAACCGGCAAACCCCTTCGAAAACCCACGGTTTCGTTGTGTATCTCTTCACTCACTTTCGGCTCGGTTTGGATTTGTCTGAAATCATTTTGAGAAAATCATGAATCAAACAGCATTATGATCCCGATATCTCCATCATATTTTTATATACCCTCTGGTTATGACTCACATAGCCATGGAAAATCACCATGCTATTAATAGGTAAACCCAGGTAAACCATCTATAATTGGGCCATTTTCCATGGCTATGTTAAATAACCAGAGGGTAATATATTTCCATCGGCTGGATGTAACCCTTCCCGTTGTGTGATTCACGCCGTCCGAGGAGCGCAAGAGCGGGGCCGGCGAAAGAAACACCTTGGCGCTGCGGCTGAGCTCGGCTGGGTCTCAGCCGCCGGGGGAAGTGCTTCCATAAATAAGTGAGGTATTTATGATGGTTTATTATCCATATATATATACAATTATATACATGTATCAAAATTTATTATTATGTACAATTATATATTATATATCTATATATTGTAATATATATGTATACATATATATATATATATATTCTGTATGTAGATAGTGAAAGTGTACCATAGTGTACCCCTTAAGCAAATCCATGGGTTTCGTGGAGATTCTTCAATCAACGCAGTGAATCCCCGTGGCAGTGGCTTCTCAAACAAGGCGGAGAAGCTGCAGCTGCCTCTCTTCCATGAGCTGCAAGAGGTCGCAAGTGAAACCAGCCATGAAGAAAGGCGGCCTCGACTCAGCTCAGAAAGCAATACCACTGACCAGGTGTTCAAAAGACATGAAGAGACAAGAGGGAGTACGACTGACTTATATTGATTTCATATTTTATATATTTTGACAGAGTAGTGCAACTGCTGCCTGGAAAATTGAAGCTGACTAAGATTGACAATTCACAATGTTTGTTCCAGTTGAAAGCCCATTGGTGACAACTATGCCCAATTCCAATGTTGCGGGCCCCTACGGCCGGCAGGCGGATGGCAGCAAAGAAGTGCTGCCACGATCTGAATCAGCTGCAATCAATCCGAGAGCTATTTGAGGCGCAGCTGGAAGCCAAAGGAAGCAGGGAATGGCATGGAATGGCCATCAGTGGCCTTTTTTTTGCATCAGTTTACACATCAATTTCAATGAAACAACATGAAACAACATGAAACAACATGAAACAACATGTTTCACAACATTTTTCACAACATGAAACAACTACAACTGTAATTACTGCATTTTTTTCTGCAAAGATCCTCAGAGATCCTTTATGGATCTTTGGAAACATGACGGAAAAAAAGTGCCGTCACCAGGTGGCGGGTGACTTTGGGCTGGGGCATCTTCAGCTAGCGATTGCGGGCTTCTCAGGTGCGAGACCTTCGGGGTCTGGAAATTTCCCGACTGTCGAGGATTTTGTATTGCACATATTTCCAAATGGTGATTTCTTACCAACTATTTACAGTCCTATAATATACTATTTCATACTATTTCTAGTATATAATTATTACTATTTCGTGTATTCCAAATGGTTTGATATTGGTTTGATTACAAGAGGGTAAATGTACATGATATTGCTAGATATTTTTCGTAGGAACAGTGGAAGGCACCTGTACTATGAATAGACGTGAAGAGGCTGAGGCACATGAATTCTGAGGGCAAGAGATATACCATCTGGTTATTTAACATAGCCATGGAAAATCACCATTTTTAATAGGTAAACCATCTATAAATGGGTCATTTTCCATGGCTATGTTAAATAACCAGATGGTATACATAACTATGTGTATCTATAGGATATATGATACATGAACAGTGACAATTCATGAGAATTCCAACAAGAACAGCACTTGCCGCCTACCATATAAATCAACCAGATTCAGTTCTTCATCCTAGGTTTTTCTGTTGCGGAAATCGCGGTTTTACTGTCAAAAGGGCATCTGCCCTTTTGCTTCATGCCGTGCCTTGGTTCACAGGTGCAAAGATGGCTCATGATGTGGTAGCAACTTTGCCTCCAACTCAGAAGGTTTCTGCAGTATTGATGTTTTTTTCTGGAAATTCATCGATGTTCCATGAGTTTTCATGAGTTTTCATGATTTTCCATGATGTTCCAGATGCGATTGTCACTTGAGTCTTGCTCCAGTGCCCACGATGCGGCATCACGGCGCATCGTCGGAAAACAGCGGCGCACCTTGCAACCTTAGGTGGGTGAGCTTGCTTTTTCCGCGTACAGAAAGCTTGTACAGCGAAAAGCAGGCGATGGATGCTTTCTTGGAGATATGGGTGTGTCTGAAAATGTGGTATACCTCAAAATATTCCTTTTAAATCGGAACATGATGGAACATGATAATAAACCATTGGATTTTGAGGTACCTTCTTTTCAGACAAACCCAGCTTTAAGCTTTCGCTTTGAAACACAGTTTGAGATGAAAAGACTAAAACTGCTATAGCTATCTTTGAACAGCCATCAGAGAGCCATTAGATGTTTCGTGAACCGCTCCGCTAAGCTCTGTAAGCTCTGTGAGGCGCCATCTTCTCCCAGGGAACTCTTTCCACTCTTGATGCTGCGACCACACCAAGAGTTCTTCCTGTCCAAGCAGGTCAGCCAAAGAGACGGCTTGGTTCAGATTCTTTGAGCCATTCAGTGGCAATATATCCACTTTCAATATCCTTCAATCAATATCATGATTCATCAATGAAGTGAACCTCATCAACCATCATCAACCCAATATCCCCAAACTATCCCACGCAAATCCCAAACATATCTCATAAATCCCAAACATATCTCATGAATCCCGAAAAATATCTCATGTCATAAATCCCTAAAAGAATCTCAGAATTCCCCAAACAGATTCATCCCCAAATAGAACATGATAGAACAGCAAATCATCATCAAATTAGTGAAGTACTTGTCCATCATGTTCCATCGCTGAAATGGTGGGGCCAAGTCCCTCGTGACGCCAGGAAGTGGCACCGGCAAAACCGATCGCTCGGCCCGAGCCAAAGTTGCTGCGATGGAGGATGCTGACCTTCCTGCGCGAGCTCAGGGAGGCGGTGACGTTTGAATTTCAAACAGGGAACGGTTGGATCAGTTGGGCACAGGTGAGTTGAGGATTTTCCAATCTTTTGAGGGGATGGGATGGATCAAAACCATGCAAAACCAAGGATTCTAGCAGATTTCGCATTTTGGAGGGGATGCATATCCATCATTGGCGATTTTGGTGTGAAGAAAAGGGTACCAGGGTTTTGACCCATAGTCATCTGAATTGATGAAATGAGGATCCAACGCTTTTCAAGAATGGTGGTGTTCCACTACCAGGGTTTAACTCACAGTTTCGTATCAGTGGCATATGTGGCATCATGTTGTGGATTTAGCTCTCTAGGGCGGAGGAACAGTTGGATGGGTTTGACACAATCCGTGACTAGCCTACAGTCTTCATGTCACTTTGCAAGGACTGGTGGTTGGCCAATGATGGGTTCAAAGGGAAACATGCGGCAAGCCATTTTCTTAAAAATATATGTCTGCCGGCAAATCATTTCGGAACCTTTCAGTGCAGTGACTCCACAGCTACTTCCGCAGCTGTGTCAACACCCTGCAGGTGGCACCAGACAATCATACCCTCTGGGAAGCGAGGTGTGTCCCTGGGCCAAGCTCTCGTATGCGCACACAATCGTACGCCAATGGTTTCCGCCAGCACCCTTTCTCTGTCGGAAAAAGTCGAGAAACAAAAAATGTCAAAAAATATCAAAAAATCATTCCGAATCAATTTTTAGAGGGCTTTTTTATTGTGCTGCGTGTTTCGATGTGTTTGTTACAGAGCTCCTCTAATGCTCCTCTAACAGCGGGGAACATGGGTGGAACATGGCGTGAAATTTCTGCGGCTGAGGTGGGAACACTCTTGGAGTTCAGCAACTGTCTGTGGCTTCAAAACTGTTCCCCAGAGGCCGCGTTTTGTTGGTTTTGTTTTTGTCAAATGTCCTCAAAGTCTCGCTAAAATCCTTTCCCCCTATAGTCAAACACCTTTCATAATAACGGTACTGGTACGCCAAGATGAATAATGTTTATTTTCAAATTCTATCAGAGACAGCTTTCTTCACATGTGCACCTTTCGGAGGCTCCGCAATCGCCTGGCTTTGGACGAGAAGGTGTGTACTGCAGATCTAGTAGGGCAACGGGATAGAGGGGTCAGTAGCATAGAAAAGGCATTACAATACCAAGTTCATCCAAGTTCAATGGGTTGCATTTGAATATATTTAAATCCTGTTTCTATCCAGTAGGGAAAGTGCATACTTTGGCATTTTTTATGATCGTTTATTTTTCAGTAAGTTGAGGGTCAGTGAATTCCCAAAGAGACGGCTTGGCAGGTGACGCGTCTGCTGGGTCACCCTTGATCAATGAGACTTGCTTGTGGGTGCCTGGTCCCAGTGCTAGCAGTTGAACCAC